CCATGCATCCGACGAAGTGGGTATTCACCCACGAAAGCTCATGCTCCAATACGTCTGTTAGTCTATAAGGTGCCACAGGACTCATGGGAATTATGACATACTTGATTTTTGTAGGTCCCACAAAAACAATGGCTGTTGGGCAGTGCTTAATTTGTAATGAAAGAGATGCTGGGGCTGAAGCAATTTTTTTGATTTTCATAACTGATGCGGCAAGCCGAGGTGCTGGGGCTACAAGCTGCCAAGCTTTAGAGGTGCCGGAGGCTCAGCGTTGGCATGTCCTGGCACAAATTAAGCACTGCTGTTGGGAGCCTTTGCTATGCTTCCTTTTGGTTAGTTCTCAGCAGCAGAGTGGAACGCAAGGGAATATTCTCCGCCCATTAAAAATTGAGAAGATTGTGGAATTTGGGCCTGAATTTTGACAGCATATGGCTCTGTAATTTGCAAAAGACCCAGCCACCGTAGGGAAGAAATAATGGCTTTGTAATTTACCAGTATGTGTGTATGAGAGAGCCCTGCTCGCGGGTGCGTGATCTCCTTCTGCAATTCAAAGGACGTCATTGCAATTAATACAATTGCAGGTACTGAGAGTCAGGTGTAGCCCACCTGGTACAGGCCAGTGTTTGGGGATCAGAAGTATTGGGATAGAAAGCAAGGTAGGTTTGAAGAGGTGCTGTGGCTAGTGCACTGGCTCAAGATTTAAGAGAGCCAAGTTCTCGACCAGCCTCTGCGGCTGGGTAACTGGCAAGTCAATTCTCAGCCCTTTGTCTCAGTTTCCCCATCTGTAAAATGAGGATAATGGGACAGCCCTCCTTTGTAAAGTGCTCTGAGTGTGATTGCTGAAAAATGCTACCCACCGGCTGGGTGCTATTATTCTTATTAAGGTGGGAGAGGGACCCTGGTGTCCTGGAGGGAGCTTCCTGGGATGTGGGCGGCACTGGGACCTTGGTGCCTAGGGACAGGGTGGAGAGGGACAGGCTGTGATGTGCTGGAGCTGCCGCCAGAGGGAGCCAGGGAGCACCGCAATACCACGCAGCATCTGCCCAGTAAGAAGCGAATCAGTACTGCAGCTGCCAATTGTAGCTGGGAGAGAAACAGTCCTTCAACATATTTAAAAGAAACTATATTTTACTTTCTTACACTCGATACATTTATATACATCCAAAACTATTCTATTAACTGCTAAGGTCAGACTAACAGTTAAAAACCTAAAGAGTTATGGTCTGATTCAAAGCCCATTGAACTTAATAGTAATTCTTAAAATGAATACTAGCATCAGACTGTGACATACTGTC